GGGGAGAGGCAGTACCAGGCAAAGTGGGGACGCTTGGTGGGTAATGGGGTCCTGGAAGTTAGTGAGGGCCCCCAGGGAGAGTGGGGGTCCCAGGGATACAAAGATGGATCCTGGGGGCTCCAGAGGAATAAGGGGTCCTGGGGGATAGTGGGGGCCTAGGCCAGAGCACCTGGGGAGTGATAGTGTGGGGAGGCCGGTTTGGCTGGACCCCTCTTTGGGCAGGTATTGGGGCAGGCCCCAGGCTCCAGACCACACAAGGCTCCCTGTCCAATCTGTAGGCACCCTAGGCCAGGTGCCTCCAATGAGCTCCAAGGTTTTTGTGTCTTCCCTGGGCTCTCTGTGCCCGTTACGGGGCTGTTCCGTGCGCCCGTGTCACAGCCCAGCACGTAGGTGATGTGCTCGCCCCTGCCTGGTCTGGGTGTGTCAGCGCCCTTTGGCACACACCCTCTAACCTTATCCCTTTCCTTTCACCGCTCCCCAGGCTCCTCCAGCAGGTGAGTGTGGCCTTTCTATTAGCGCTGGGCCCCTCTACTTCCCTGTTGATTACTTTGTGTCTCCCCCCATGTAAGTGTGCATGCATGGAGGGGTCTGGGTTGTGGCAAGCATGGATGTTTGTAACAGAGCAAATTGTTTCCAGATGGAGAAAGTTAATTCCCAAAGGCACAGTCATCTGGGCTCATGTTTATACAATACCCCAGGGACTGAAGATCAGAGATAAAAATGCTCTGATAATACAAGTGCTTTCTGGACTCCCAGCGCTGCCCTTCTGACAAACAACTTCACGTAAGCAATTTTAATGCCCGCTTCTGCTAGGTAGTGTGTCCTGGAATGCCTCTTCCCATGCTGTCCTCCCACCCCTCATTTTATCTGCTCTTAGCCTCCCATTTCTCTACAATGGAATCCCTGACTTGCACACTTCCAGGGTATCTTGTGGTGCCTCATAGACTCTCAGCGTGTGGATTTAAGTGACTATGAGTAAGTTAAGTGCTTTGAAGTGACAAGTGGAGTCAAAATGATTGAGTCTCAATTCTGATTTCTGCAGATCTCTGGCATTATCCTCCTGGCAGTTGGCATCTGGGGCAAAGTGGGCCTGGAGGTGTATTTCTCCCTGTTAAATGAGAAGGCCACCAATGTCCCCTATGTACTCATTGGCACTGGGACTGTCGTCATCCTCCTAGGCACTTTTGGCTGTTTCGCCACCTGCCGTGGAAGCACATGGATGTTAAAACTGGTAAGTGGTTGACTGTCAGAAGAGTCACAAATCTAATACCCTGCTTCTACAACTCAGAACTTCACCAGCTGTCTGCCCTGCCATGTGCTCTCATGTATCTGCTTTGGGAAAGTCTCTGTTCTCTCTAAGTATTGGACCATACATTCTTTGACTTTCTCAAATAGGGCACATCCCAGACTCCACCCTCTTTGGCAGAGCTGAGGTGCTGGCATTTGTGGCTAATAGATTCTCTCGCTGTAGCCTTCTTTTTATGTACCCATGTTAGCCTGGGAATGTATTTGGCTTTTAATTACTCTGTTTTTCCTATCCACAGTATGCCATGTTCTTGTCCCTCATCTTCTTGATTGTGCTGGTGGCTGCTGTTGTAGGATTTGTTTTCAGACATGAGGTGAGTTCAGGTGTGATTGCTTTCTCCGATGCTTTCACCCTTTTCCCCTTCTTCTTGAGGCCAGGGCTTGGATGGAATTCCCCTGCAGAGTAAAGAGTTTAGACTTACATTTGTTTCCTCTTACTTTGTGCAATCCCTTGGTGGTTGCATATTGAGAGGAAAATTCTTTTCATTTCTATTGAGGTATAAATCTGGGGTAACCCTTTTGACTTCACTGGAGTAGTCTGGATTTACAGTGTTGCTGACAACAGAAGTTGGCTCAGTTTCAGATTCCAAATGATCAGTATGCGCAAAAAGGACAAATAAGAAAAGTCTTCCAGTCATTTAAAGACGTGAAAACTCAGTACTTCTGAGATTTGGTTGCTACACTATTTACCAAATTAACCAGTATTTAACATCAACAGGGATTTAGAGAGAATATCTGTAGAGTGTCTAGGAATAACCACAATGGATGCATTTGACGCTATTCAAGAGAACTTTTAGTCACTAATTGGGTCTCTTAAAGTTCCTTAAATAGTGTAGAAAAGTATTTCAGGGATTAGAAATAACCTGACTGAAATGAGATGGGGGAGATATTTAAAGGCATAAATGAATATTAAGCACCTACTCCCCAGTTGAACCTCTCTCACAAGGACTGTAAAGTGCAAACCAGACCATTCCCTAGTTTGTACTAAGCTTGACAGACGTGCACATTTTTATAAAAAACAGATTTTTTTTTAAATTTGTGAGCTGGATCCTTCACCTGGAATGTGCTAGTCAGAATGTTCCTGCAACATTCTGGGATGGCCCTAAATAAGGTCCATGGAAACCATGATTTTCTTGTAATGTCACGGTAATTAGGTCTGCTTGTAAATGCAAGAATTAAGTTCCAGTGCTTGGTACAGCAGGGGCTGTGCTCCCTGCCCCAACCCTCAGTTCTTCTTTATAGCCGTTCTCACATCTAGATAGTAACAGGAGTGACTTTCTGAGCCATTCCTGGTTCTCTGTTTCTGATGGAGCTGAGTTTTTTAAGGTGACAAGGAACTCTTTGGGACCTGTAGCCTTTGGAGGCTTAGGTTACAGAAATCTTTCTATTCTTGCAGATTAAAGACAGCTTTGAGAGCAACTACAGTCTTGCTCTGAAGAACTACAATGCAACCATGGATCTCCGCAGCGAAGCTGTGGATACCATCCAGAGAACTGTGAGTACTTGTGGTTGGTTCCTCCAAAGAAACTGGTGGGGGAGTCTGTATCCTGCAGATGTATGGCCCAGCATACCCTGATGTGTTGAGCAGCAGCTGAGGCTGGGGTTCCCATGCACAGGCAAAGTACAACACAAGGAAGGCTCTGGCTTGCTAGGAGGCATTAAACATTAGCTGCCTTCTCTGTTACTGCCAGACCTGTCCCTTAGGAAGATGTACAGTAATCTCCTCTTGCCTCACTACACAGGGGAGCAGTACTGTCCTAATGTTCCCAGTTCTCAAGCACATGAAGGACAGCCATTACTGTGGACAACATAGAGGGTAGCTGTGTGCACATAGGTGGCTTTGCAGGGTATGTGCTATGCAGATTTTATCTGACTGGGTAGAGTGTGCTTGTCCCTGTACCAAACTGGCAGATGCACTGTCCTTGTCCTGCATACATCTTTATCTCTGAGTCTGGTCTCAAAGTATTTGTGTGTGAAGGAAAAATAGCTGTTCTGTGCTGGTCATCGGAGGTGTCAAGTAAAAGGCAGGTGATACGTAAGTGCTGTTGGGTTGCATTGGGGAGGGGAGGAAGCATTTGGGGTATCTGCAGATTGGTGTAGCTGCGGGGATGTAGTGCTCTGTGGTTCAAGCACTGCTCCTTACTGTTCTAAAATTTGATTTCTCCAGCTACACTGCTGTGGAGTCCAGAGCTATTTAAATTGGGTGAATACGACCTATTTTGCACAGAATGGAATTCCTCATAGCTGCTGCAAGCTTCAAAACTGCTCAGACGAAGACCTGAAGGACCTGAATAAAGCCAAGGCAGAGGTGTTTGGTAATGTAAGTGACTCTCAGAGATGTGTCCTGGAAGCAGGTGTGGGAAGAGAGAGTTGAGACCTTCTTCCCCGGGTTGTCAGATCCCTGTAAGTGGTCAGGAACTTTAAAAAGAGTGTTGTTGGGGTACAGGAAATTGCTGTGCAGTAATGGGGGCGAAGGCTGTGTTGCCGTTGACAGGAGAAAGAGGCATAGAGAAGCTGTGCCCAATGCATTTTCTCAAGTTCTCTGGAAGTTCCAGTTATTCTTCGTTGTTGGGAAGAGATTTGTGTCTGCATTGGCTTGCCTTTGTCTGTATCTGTCTGCATTAGCTTGCCTGCGCTTTGTGTCAGATGGGATTATGTGAAGAACTCTATTGTATCATGCTTTACATTCCTGTAGCACTTAATGCTCACACTCCCCTATGAAGAAAGTATACAGGGGACTGCACAGAGATGCAGAGGCAGGTAATGTTACTTAGACCATCTAGTCCCATTTAAACTATTGAGTTCATCTTCCCACGCTGACGTGATCCTCAGTGAATCATGTTGCTTTGCTGGTCCTATACATCCACCTTCATAAAACAAGGCTTGGCACAGTGCCCAGGATGAAAGGTGCAAAGTACAAAGATGTAAATGGATTGCCCAAGCTCAAACAACAAGCTAAATGGCTAAATTCAGAACTGATTCCAGAATGCCCTGACTCCCAGGTCTGCCTTAGATTCTTTCCTGAGCTTGTTCACTCCTCAAGGTACCTGTGCGATGGCTGTGAATTGGATGGATGTGTAGTTGGTGTCTGGCAGCCTGGAACTACCCCTGCTATACTCAGATGCAAACTTGTTTTTTCCTCAGGGTTGTTTCAGTCTGGTAACAACAGTTATGGAGTCCAAAATGAGCATTGTGGCTGGCATCTCCTTTGGCATCGCTTGCTTCCAGGTAAAATCTCTCCTTCTGTCTAATGTTTTCTTATGTGTGCAAAGGGCAAAGCATATTTCAAAGAGGAAGAAATAGTTGATTTTTTCCCCCCACAGATTACCATTTTATTTAAATACCACACAGTCACCCAACTCCAAAAGTGGGGATTAAAATGCCAACTTCCCTTCAGAGAGCCGGTGTATGTCTTGAGAATAGCTCACTCCGGAAACGATGCCAATGCAACCAAATCTCTCCTCTTCTGATCCAGTGTTTCCTATCTGAATTTCTGTTTCCAGAACAAACTGTCACCTGTGCTTCTGCTGCCCCATTGCCCTGTCAGGGTGAGAGTTGGATTAAATGTCGGTGCTTATAGATGATCAAAAATATTCTGAAATGCCTATCACAAACTCAGACCCAGCTAATGCAATGACCCCATCTTCTGTTTCTTTCCCTCTGATTCTTTAGCCTGAGGTTTTATCCTTGTGATGAAGGAAGCATTATGCCTCAAGCAGCAATGGAACTAGTGTTTCCTCATCTGACCAACCTTGTCTACACAGGAAACAAGAGTCCTCTGGCCTGAGCTCCTTGCTAACGTCACCTTTGTGCATGGGGAACGTTTGGGAGTGGGTTTTTGGAAGAGCTCTGTAGACTGGGTGCAAGTTGAGTGCTGAGTAGTTTGAAAAGCTGATCATGAGTGCCCTGAGAGACCTTTATATAGTTGAGCTCTTTGGAAAATGTTACCCCACTTTTGGTTATCGAGCACTGGAAAAACTGGCCTGATGTCTAGCCTGGATAGCTGGGCTAAGGTTGGCATGTCCTGCCTTCAGATAGGATCAGTGGTCACTTCCTGCCATATTTGTTTTCAGTCTCTGTCAGCTAAGCAGATGATCAGAGTAGTGTTCCCTTAACACGTTTATTTCATGGCTTGTCGGGTAAGCGTGTGCTCTTGCTATCTCTGTATCATCTTCCATTGTGTGCCAGAACTTTAAGCCTTAAATTCTCCCTAAAAGATAGCTGGTGCTGATCTTCCTTGTTCACAGGCACTCTCAAACGCTGATCCTGTCACGGGTCCCCATACACACAGAGGGGCTAACAGGGCAGACTTCAGAACAAGTTTCAGAGTTGGATAATATGTGGAGTAAAATCATTGACTGTACTGCGTTAGTCAGGGAGGGGAACTTCCGACCCCCGGGCTGGATTTGGCTCGTAGCAAGTCTCTGTGCTACAGGCAAGAAGCCCTGAGTCTCAGCTACCCTCACAGCGCTGGACTGTGAGCAGGACAAGCCTCACCAGTCCAAGCTGAGTGTGAATGAGGGTTGTTGGCTTTTTTGTTCGTTTGTTTCTCACTTGGAACAGGCAAGTGAAGTCTTTCTACTTTTGTGTGGTCCTCGACTGACTTTTTTGCGGGTCAGTGGTCTCTCACCAAAAAAGGTTCCCCACCCCTGGCCGAAGTCTTGCTGAACGTCTCAATTGTGTTCTGAGCAGTTGAGTTTTCTGTGGCAACTGCTAGGCTTGTGGAAATCCCCTGAGGGGACTGTGATTGTTTGTAGGGTGTCTAACTGGAACACCTTGCAGTTGGCAAGAAAGGTGGCAACAGACAGACACAGACGACAGACTTGATTACTTGACTCTTATTTTGAGGTGATTTCCAGTCTGACTGAAATTCAGAGTCACAGATCTCTGTATCGGTTCCAAATGGCAAAACTCCTTAGTTCCTTCAAAGCATGTTCACTTTTAAGTAAAGAGTATGAAGAAACAGCAGTTTGGAATTGATGCAAAGGAGTGGGCAGACCCAGTAACCAGGGAAGAGACTGACAGAGTGAGATTGCTTATTGATTGCTTGGTTTATTTTATCTTTAATTTACTCTCCTTGGAAGGAAATTGCCTGGCGACAGTCTGTGAGGTATCCAGGCTGAGGCAAGGTTAACATGTAATAGCATGAGCACAGAGAAGAATCTTGGCCAGCCAGTTTTTATTCTGATATCAGTTTGTCACTGTGCTGTTTTCTGTAACAGACACGGAATGGATTGGGAGAGGCTGGAACGCAGACCTTTACCTTGCGGCTCATACGCTTGCAAACTCTTTATTGCATTTTGATGTCACTGTGCTAGGGCTGGAGCCAATCTGTCTCTTTCAGCTGCTATCCATTTCCTCCCTCCTCCCCCCTATCTGCGATGTGCAGCTCACATTCTGCTCATTACAGCTTCCAGATCTATACTCCAAATAGGGCAGCAGAGTTTGACTGATGAATAAGTGTGTGTGTGTATGGGGGCGGGGGGATGTGCTTTCGTCAGCTCTGTGAGCGTAACCGCAGTGTAGCGGTTTCAGTCTTTGAGGAATATATTGTTGTTTGGGACTTAGAATCATATACACATTTTGTGATTTACTCTGAAGTGAACGTTGATGGTTGTGTCACGCAAATGAAAGGCCCTGTTCTGCAACTTTGCCTCCCATGAGAACAGTTACATGCATGAGTGTTTTTTAGGATCAGGTCCGAAATGTCTTTGATACAGAAAACAGCTGTCTGGAGCCCACACAACAATAATAACCGATGTGTGTCCTTCAGTATTTTCACATCAGCCTTGATTCTGTCATTGACCTTGGAGTGGGGAGAAGCGGTTGATATTTTCTACTGTTTGTGTAATGGGCTGTAATGCTCTTGATAGCCATATAATCTCTGGGAAATTACCATAAAGCAGTCGATGGTTCATAAAGCAAATTCTAACAAGAAGTAATGTTGACTCTCTCTCACAAGGAGTGCCTTCCTATGCGGATGGCTGCCAGGATCCTCTCAGCTTTATCTACCCTAAAGCAAAGGAGCCCATATTCTGATTTTGCAAAACCTCATCACCCAGACTTTGCTTTTACAAAACCAAAGCGAAGTATCCAGTGCTTCAGATCTCAGTTGCATTGTGTCCAAATTGTTGCATTTCAGAGTGTGGTGCAGCTTAAACGATTTCGAGTTTGGGTCCACTTATATTTATTTTTTCACATTTCAGTTGGTTGGGATCTTTCTCGCCTGCTGCCTGTCCCGGTACATCACAAACAATCAGTATGAGATGGTGTAACAAGCCAGCCTGTGACCAAGGTATGCCTGCCCTGTAGGTGCATGTATTCATGTTCCTGTCTGCAGATCTGAGAATGAGGGAGGTCTTTTGGAAGCTTGCACTTCCATTGTGCTGTGTGCATATGTTCACAGAAAGGTCCGAGCAAGGTAACATGCGCTCCATGTACCGGTCCATCCATTTGGAGATGCGCAGGGTCTGCTCCATCTGCGTGTTTCTTCTATAAGCATCTAGCTGAGCGAAGAACCCACATTTTGTAGTAAGCAGTTCTTTGACTCTTAAAGTTTAAAGTGAAATAGACACCTTCCTGGGCATACAAGGATAGAGCAAACAGGTGCTGTGGAATTTCCTACACATACATGCTGACACACCTCTGTTAGTTACTCGACCTCCTTCCCATCTTACACCTAGACCCTTTACCTAAACCGACCTTCCATTCCTGCCTGCTCCTACAGAACTAGTTCTGCTTCTTCCCAGCTCTTTTAGCACACTACAGTTCTTGCTGGTAATGCCCCTGCTGTTCTAGTACTGTCTCTCCTCTTGTCCCCCTCCCTTCCTCTGAATCTGCATCTCCGTATAACCCACAGGTTATGTATTGGGCCTTTCGTAGCAGGGATGAAGATACTGAATGATGGTGCATTGTGCTGTGAGGACCAGTATTTGCTGTGAAGTAGCATGCAACCCACAGTCTTACTTGTGTAATAATTTAAGCTCACTGGGATCCTGATCTCTAGAGCTGGGAAACATGTTCAATTAACTCTCCTTTGCTTTCTGAATTTTAGGAAATGTCCTTTGATCTTCCTCCTCTGGAGAGCACTTCCAGTTTTCACCTGGTCCCAGCCTGCTGAAATCATGTTTGAACTGACTGATCCTCTTCAGAATCAGCTCACGGAACTGAGCGTTAACAGCTGTTCCGCTGTAATCGGGGACTTGTCAAAACACTATTCTTTTGTAACACTGAATGGGGTCATTATTATAGCTGAGGTAGTTTTAATAACTACTTTCCTTCAGGCCCCTACCACCTCATCTCCTCTCTAGAGCACAGGCAATTTGATTGCACAGTGAAGTAGCATGATATGACACTAATCGCATCCCATTCTTAGACTCTCTGTTAGTTATTTAGGAAGGTGGTCTCTGATAACTGGAATTTACTGTTAGTTTTGGAGGTGTGTAGTATGCATTAAGAACGAAGTACTCTTTGCTTTCTCTCTTGTGCAGTTGGCCATTTAAATTATATTATGCAACTCAGACTCTCTCACTGATCATTGAAACACCTACTAGTCCTATCATGCTATTCAGCCACACTGCCATGTTTGTTTGAGGCTCTGTGTTCAACAGCATCTGTTTCCAGGTTCTTTTCCCCAATCAAGGGTTTTATATCACTTTTTTATAATGGTATTTTTTACCTTGTTCCTCTCTCCTGATCAGGTTGTAGTGATCTTTTGTAAGTTGTAGCGTGAGGTTTGGTGGTGTAGCTGTCTGGCCCATAGTTTTGTAGCTATGCCTCCACCATGTTGGGCATGTTTTCATTGTCAGTATTATGTGCTGCTTTAATTGTGTTGTGTATTAAATAGAAATCTTGTTTTGAAACACAATAAATATTAAATATTTTACTCCTAAAGTGTTAATGCGCATTTTGTTCCCAGAAAATTCTGCCATGATTTCAGTGCAGGAATCTACTGGGGATGTAGATTTCTCTGCCACTCTTAGTGCATCCATTTGGCTTGGCCCCTGACCCTTGTAGCATAGTGGCACCTATTTTGTCTAAGGTATCACCATGTTGGAGCAGTTTCAGTTAGAGAAGTTATTTGTATTCTGTGCCTAAACACTGTTGTGCAGCATTGTTGATGGAGAACAGCCAACTCCCGGGATAGAATGCTGCAGGTGAAGTTCTCCTGAGCGAACCTTCAGCAGAACAAAGTTCAGTTTTCATGTAAGTGGCCACACCCTCTGCTATCTTTGTGGCTGTTGCTGGATTTGGCTTGTTCTAGAAAGTACTTTGGGATCCTTCAAAGGAAAGGGTACTATGTAACCGGAAGAGAGGATTTGCTCTTCCTGGCCGTGTTTGGATGAATCCACTGACCGGCCACAACCATTCTCCAATAAGGAAGCACTTCCTGGTGAGCCCTTTCCTAGTCCTGAAGGCATTCTAGCAAATTCCTCCTTCCCAGGCGTTGGGTACCCTGTTAGGTTTGGAATGACTGCTCAGGAAAGTCTGGGAGAAGGGAGGGTACCGTCCGCCAGGTACTGCTACTGTAATCATTGATTCACATCTGGCATGAAAGGAGGGATTAGAAAGGGCTGGCCTTTTCACACCACTAGCCTGCCTTCCTGTCACCAAAACCAGTGCTGCTGAGAGGCAGCCTGGCCCCGAAAGCCTGTGCAGGGTCAGTGTTCGAGCAGCACATCATAGCCATGTTCTGCACATTGCCCCGAAAGCGCTGTTACGGGCCATTGCCAAAGACAGGCTACTTACTGAGCAAGATGGATCATGGTCTGACCCAGTGTGGCAGCTCCTAAATTCTTTTGTTAGCTTGTTAGGAACGGCCCCATTAAACTGGCTTCACTTCTGACTGCAAAACTTAATATCCTGTTCAGCTTCAGAGAATAAATGAAACTATTTTGTACGTCAGTCCCCAGCCGGCTTTGTTAAAAGGCCTCCAGGGTTTTCAAGGCAAGGCAAAGTGCATTAGCACTTTTGACCATTAAAGTAGCAATATAGACATTGTCCAATTTAAGCTAATGACCGGACAGAGCTTGAATAAAACAAATGCTAAAGCAGGGCTGCATCCATCGGAGAGCCTGTGCAAAGACGAATGAGCCTGCACACACACGTTTTCGGCTGGCTTGTGCTGCATCCTGTAGGCCAATAAGTGCAGCCCCAATGTAATCTGGTTCTGAATTACCAGGGTGTGTCTAGATAAACAATTGCACCTCAGTTTGCTGCTTTTTCACTGGGCACCGGGTGAGTGCACAACAGGCCACCTATCCATGTGGACTTGGGATGTCAACATATAGTCGACTACACGATTCACCGATAATCCTGGGTTTATCAGTTAATCCTATCAACTATATACACTTTCCCCCTCTGTATCAGGGCGGAGGGGTGGAGATGGGAGGCTCAGCCTCTGTTTGCGGCGGAGCTTGGGGGCCCCCCGCGCATAGGGGCTGCTGCGGCCTCGCATTGGTGCCTCGTATCAGAAACAGCAGAACGGGGCGGCAAGCAGGAGCCAGTCTATGCAGGGAGCAGATTTTAAACTAGCTCCCCTTGTGGCCCGGTTCCCACCTGACACCCTGCGCTGCTTCCTCCGTAGGCAGCAGGGGGCTCCCTGGGAGTGCTGCTGGCCCCACCCCTCGGGACTATCAAATAATCACATAACAGCTACGATTTGATGCGGTTACACAATTGTTCGATTAATCGGTATCTAAAACATCCCTAATGTGGACCCTGCTGCTGCTCCTAGAATGTTCCTTGGTGCACTTTGGTTTCCTGTTTCAGAGCGTAGTGGATCACACAGCACTTGGGAAGTGTTAGTGTGCAGTACCAGGGTCTGCAGGGCGGGCTAGCACACCCCTGCCTCCTGTGCACTAGCAGTTCATCTAGAGAAGCCCTTGAATGGTGATCGTTGCAAATAGTGTTGGTCCCTTTTTAGGCCACGTTTAAAACCCCATATGCTGCCGCCCACTAGACCATGGGTTCCCAAACAGGGGGGTACGAGGCGACCCAGCCCCCCCCCGTCAATCCCACCCCAAGTTTTGCTGCTATTTTTTTGGGAGGGGGGGCATGAGGGTTTCTCAAAAATCAGAAAGGGGGCGTGATGTGGAAAAGTTTGAGAACCACTGACATAGACTCTACTTGGTGGTAGTCACCTCACACTGTCCTTAGCCATCAGGCGTTCGTGTTGATTGCCCTTCGCTGATCGGATGGCTGAGTTGGGGCTTCTCTCAGTGAGCATGTGGTCCTTAGATTTACTTAGGCCCGGTGGTCCCGTGATGAAACCACCACCGTTACCACTAATTGGGCCTCTTGGTACCCTCAGCAGAAGCAGTGACGGTTGCAGGAGTGTGGAGCGTGACCTGTGTGGAGCGTGAGCGAGGCCAGCTTTGAGGCATGCGTTTCCAGAGGTGTCTTCACGCTGCCTGGGCAGACCCAGAGTTGCTACTGTCTGATCCTTCCCACAAACTTTTTTTTTTTAAATTGGCCCTGTTGAAGTTACTCCCCTGAGACCTTCCAGATCTCCTTGCTTTGGTGACAGGGCCAACGGGCCGTTCCCCTCTTTCCTGGCTCGGTGCCTACGGTCACAGTGAGAGAGCCCAGGCAGTGTTTTCCGCTGGGGAGCCCGTTCTGCTAGGACCCATCAGAACTGATCCCGTCATGCTGGCCTCTTGTTTCTCCTGTTAGGATGCTGCTGGTGATGAGAGAGGGGAATGTTTAACTGGTCAGCCTCACTCTGACTGGTTAAGGTTATCCAGTGGGGGCTGGACGGGCCTCTCCCTGCCTGCTGTGGGCAGAAGGTTGCAGCAGCCCCTGCCTGGTATGAGGGGGGCCCACCATCCATAATGGAGCGACTGCTGCCCACCCTCCCCTTTAAACATATTAACTGGTTAACCAATTAAGTGGGGTTTTAACATCCCGCTGGTGACTCATCTTAAATCAGCAGATGTGCCAAGATTTATAGCTAACTCAGAAATCCCGCCGATGAACTTACAGCGCCACACACCTGCTGGAGGGGAGGGAGGAGGGATTAGAAAGAAGCACTGAGAGGCAGATGTGACTTGCTAAGGATGCTCTGCATCCCTGCCTCTTCTAAAACCTTATGGAGAGGGGTCCAAAGCAGGGAGCAGCAGGAGTTGAGGGCGCTCATGAGACGCTGCTATAACACCTGTGGCAGGGGAGAGCGTATGCCAACCCTTCTTCAGGGAGTTAAAAAAAGGAACGAGCCCCTCATCTCTCTTCCCATGTTCCCTTGTCCCAAATGTAGCTGCAGTAAATAAGCCATGAGCACTTTGCGTTTTGGCTCAGCTCTGCCCACCTCCAGAGAAAGCAGTGTGAGCACGGGGTCATGCAAACCACAGGGCTGGCTTTCTGGGTCGTGTCCCTGCCGGCTTCTGAATCGCAGGCTTTCTTTGCTCTCCTGTTCTGGGGCGAAATGGAGGGGGTGCAGGGTCTGCAGACGCTGCTTTGTCTTTCCCGTACAATATTTATATTACACGAAAGTGCGGGAATTCAGTTTCTGAAATAGCTGCAGCTCTCCCCCTTGGCCAGCAGAGAGCAACCCTGAGAAAGCTCATTGATTTCAGAGCCTGTATAGCTGGAACCTCCACCACATTCCTTGCTGAATTCTCTCCGGGGTGGTCGGGAGAGGGAACCTCGTCCATACCCCCTCATCCTGTGGCCTTGCTAACAAGAGATTCTGTGCAAGTATGGTGTGAATACCTAGGCCAATCATTCTATTGTACATTTTAAACATAGCACAAGAGAGCAGGGTGGCTGACTTCAGTGCGGCTCTCTTTTTATTCATAGCCCTTAGGGCCTCCAGCTGTGGAGCAGGGCCCCGTGGTTCTAGGTGCTGTACAAACACAGAACCAAAGGCACCACAAGGTCAGTTCTAGGAGCTTAATGATCTAAGCAGGCTGGGCCATCCTGAGGCTTTATGGGACACTGCGCAGTACTATTAAATGGGGGCCCTCTGCCTATGGGAGATGGTGATATTTTAGAGCTGTGATTTTTATAAGCTTCAGCAACACGCTAATGAAATATTTTTAAAGCAAATTTTAAACTAAGGTCCAGTTGACTCAGTAAATCCAGAAACTGACAATCTCTACCTGGGGTTGGCAAATACTTGTTAAATGGCTTCATTGCCACTGGAATGGCTCTTTCATAGGCTCATTGTCTGCTAATAGGCCTGGCGGGCATTTTCACTTGTAAGTCAACTACGTCCTCTGCGGAGGAAGCAGCACCACAGAACAGGGTAGGAAGAGGTTGGTTGAGTGGACATTAAGACCCAGTGGTGCCCCAAATTTTTGGGTACCTCATACCACTGCATATTCTGTGTATTATGGGTGAGGACGGCCCTGTAAGCAGGGTCTGATGTAGCTCAGCTACTCAAAATATGTTAAAGGCAACTTGGACGACAACACCACACACTCTTTTTTTGACTAGCTCAAAATATGTTAAAGGCAACTTGGACAACACCACACACTCTTTTTTTTACTATGTTGCGAACATACTAGATTTCTGTAATGTGGTTGGGGGTGCTTTGTGTAGCTGAAGAATAAGGAATATGTTGCAATCTGTTGCTCTCCATGTTTTGCAAAGGTGATGGTGGTGATCCCATTTTACCGATGAAAGAAAAGGCACAGAGTCGCTTCCCTAAGATCATATGAGCACGGGGCAGAGTTTTGCACGGAAAGTCAGGTCTTTGACATGTGAGTTGACGCCTAAGTGCAGCTCTTGGGAGGTTTGAAGGAGCCATGTTTTCTCTGTTCCCCGTCAGTTTCTTTGTTCTCCTGTGGATGCTTCTCAACACATCTGCAAGCCTCATGCATTGTCACTTCAGATCTTTTCCCTTCCCACCACAGATTTTCAGATGTGGCTAAATAATGGGCTGATCTCCGGCT